ACTGAACCAACGCACCACACACACACACACACACTGGGTGCTAGCCTGAACATGTTGCTTCACAAGGCATTATGGGATTCCAACTGCATCATTCTCTTCATTGACTCCTTTTCCTGAAAACCTTCCAGGCATCGACTGGGCTCCGGAGTCGAACCGCATCGTGACGTGTGCGTCGGACCGTAATGCGTACGTGTGGACCCTGAAGGACAAGGTGTGGAAGCCCACTCTGGTGTTGGTGAGGATCAACCGGGCTGCTACCTGTGTCAAGTGGTCCCCCCTGGAGAATAAGTTTGCCCTGGGCAGCGGAGCTCGCCTCATCTCTGTCTGCTACTTCGAGAAGGAGAACGACTGGTGAGAGACACAGAACACATTCGGTCGGTCGGTCTCTCTCTCACTCGCTCACTCACACATGTACTCTCACTGTACCCTCTTACTAATACTGTTATTGTGACTGTGACTACAGTAGTACACTATAGGCCGGAAGTGAGGCCCCATTTGAGATGTTCCCAGAGAGAATCTACTGTAACCTTTGCCCTCTGACCCTGCAGTGGCTCAGTAGTGTCTTGAGATTTGCCCAGTATGAATCTATTGCAACCTTTGACCTTTGAGACCTCTGTGACCTCTGCTGCCCCCCCCCCCCCCCCGCAGGTGGCTCAGTAAGCACATAAAGAAGAGCATCCGGTCCACGGTGATGTGTCTGGACTGGCACCCCAACAACATCCTGCTGGCTGCAGGGTCCTCTGACTTCCACTGCAGGTCAGAACCAACAGATATCAACTGTCTCTAATGCTGTTGATGCTACTGTTTTGATGATTCTTATTTATTCAACCTTCAGCAAGGTAATCATTGGGGACAGATGATTTATTTTCTAATGCTTGGTCAAGGAGCTGTTAAAACAATATGACAATATAATACATCTCTACCGCACTTCTGCTTGATAACCCCGCACCACCTTTGAATTTAATCTGATGTCATTTCGCAAACACTTTTGCCATAGATTTGTGTTTTCTCACAACAAGTTTCTTTACCATGCACTCCTGGAAAAAAGGTGCTATGTAGAACCTCAAAGGGTTATTCGGCTGTCCCCATAGGAGAACCCTTTGGAGAACCCTTTTAGGTTCCAGGTAGAACCCTTTTAGGTTCCAGGTAGAACCCTTTTAGGTTCCATGTAGAACCTTTTTCACAGAAAATTCTACATGGAACCCAAAAGGGTTCTAGCTGGAACCAAAAAGGGTTCTTCTATAGGGACAGCTGAAGAACCCTTTTCGAACCCTTTTTTTCTAAGTCTGAGTTGTAATATGCTGGTTTAATTGTTTATACTAATGTATATACAGTCTGTTTATACTAGAACAGTATTTAAAAAATACTCTCTCACACGTTCTAGCTCTCTCTTTGTGATACAGAATAAGCATGTTTTAAAGTAACGTTGTCCGAGCCAGATCGGCCCATAGTGATACAAACAATTCTCTTCATGCAGGATCTTCTCTGCCTACATCAAGGAAATCGAGGACAAGCCAGGCCCGACAGCGTGGGGGGCGAAGATGCCGTTTGGGGAGATGCTGCTGGAGACCAGGGACTGTGGAGGTTGGGTGCACAGTGTCTCCTTCTCCCCCAGCGGAGACCACCTGGCCTGGGTCGCTCACAACAGCAGCATCAGCGTGGCCGATGCCACCCAGGGGAAAGAGTGAGTGAAAGAGTGAAGGAGTAAAGAGGTGAAAGAGAGAAGGAGTGAAGTGGTGAAATAGTGAAGGGGTAAAAGAGTGGAGGGATGAAAGAGTGAAGGGGTGAAGTGGTGAAATAGTGAAGGGGTGAAAGAGTGAAGGGATGAAACAGTGAAGGGGTGAAAGAGTGAAGGAGTGAAGGGGCAAAAGGGCGAAAGGCTGAATGATTGAAGAGGTGAAATAGTGAAGGGGTAAAAGAGCAAAAGAGTGAAAAGGGGGAAGAGTGAACGGGTGAATGGGTGAAAGAACCAAATAATGAACGGGTGAAAAAATAAAGGGGTGAAAGAGTGAAGAGGTGAAAGGGTGAAGGGATGAAAGAGTGAAGGGGTGAAAGAGTGAAGGGGTGAAAGAGTGAAGGATGAAAGAGTGAAGGGGTGAAAGAGTGAAGCGATGAAAGAGTGAAGGGCTAAAAGAGTGAAGGGTGAAAGGGTCAAAGAGTGAAGGGGTCAAAGAGCGAAGGAGTCAAAGAGCGAAGGAGTGAAGGGGAAGAGAGTGAAGCGATGAAAGAGCAAAGGTGTGAAGGGATGAAAGAGTGAAGGAGTGAAAGAGTGAAGCGTGAAAGTGTGAAGGGAAATTGAAGAGTGAAGGGGTGAAAGATGAAGAGCGAAAGGGGAAAGAGTGAAGGAGTGAAAGAGTGAACGTGAAAGGGACAAATTAAAGGCAGATGCCACCCAGGGGAAAGAGTGAGTAGCTATTACTGACAGAAAGGATGCTTCTCAGTCTTGGGTCCTCCATATGTGGGAGGGGGGTCCTCTGCCTGACCTCCTGAAAATGTCCAAGCGAAACCATTAGAGCCTTGGAGGAGATCCTTGAAAAGGAACATTGGGTTCTTCTGATGTTCTGAGAAAGAGGCTTAAGGACAGAGGGATAGTGAGAACGAAAAACCACTCTTGAATTCGTCCTCAAAGAGAGGAACATGTCATTGACCCCTGACTCTTGACCTCTGTCCTTGTGTTGATTGACAGGGTGACTCAGCTGACAACGGACTGGACCGCCTCCCTCTAGTGAGCGTGCTCTATGTGAGCCCCACAGAGATGGTTGCTGCGGTAAGAAAACACACCTCTCTCTCTCTCTCTCTCTCTCTCTCTCTCTCTCTCTCTCTCTCTCTCTCTCTCTCTCTCTCTCTCTCTCTCTCTCTCTCTCTCTCTCTCTCTCTCTCTCTCTCTCTCTCTCTCTCTCTCTTCTCTCTCTCTCTCTCTCTCTCTCGGGCAAGGTTACTCAACACGTGAGCCTATTTCACCGAACCACTTCCACCTCTGGGAGTTCATTGAAGAAATACACTTGGCCAGTCCCAAATGGAACCCTATTCCCCTATATATATATAGGCTATACAGGATCCCTTGTGTCATGGTATCGTACAGTTTCCTCCTATGGTCCCTGGTCAAAAGCAGTGCATTATAAAAGGCAATAGTGTGCCATTTGACCCTCGGCCATAAGGCGATATCATACACACCCTGCATCCCTAACGTCTAAACCCTCTATGTTCCAGGGCCATGACTGCTGTCCGTTTCAGTTCTCCTACAAGGGCCCAGGCAGTCTGAAGTTTGTTAAGAAGCTGGACATCCCCAAGCAGACGTCTAGGGGCAGCATGTCCGCCATGCAACACTTCCGCAATCTGGATAAGAAGGCTACTGACGATGAGAGCAACGAACTGGGCTGCTTGCACCAGAACAGTATCACGTGAGGAGAGAGGGAGTGTGTTGTGTTATGTGTGTGTGTGTTGTTGTGTGTGTTTGTGTGTGTGTTTGTTGTGTGTTGTGTGTGTGTGTTATGTGTGTGTGTGTGTGTTATGTGTGTGTGTGTGTTTGTTGTGTGTGTGTTTGTGTGTGTGTGTTGTGTGTGTTGTTGTGTGTTGTGTGTGTGTTGTTTGTGTGTGTTTATGTGTGTGTGTGGTTGTTATGTGTGTGTGTGTTTGTGTGTATGTGTGTGTGTGTGTTTGTTGTGTGTTGTGTGTGTGTGTGTGTGTGTGGTGTGTGTGTGATGTGTGTGTGCGTAAGAACTTGTAGAGTATAGTGAATCTCTCTGCTCCTGTGTCTCCCTCCCTCCAGTCAGCTGTGCATTGTGTCAGGAAAGAAGACCTCCGTGGACAAGTACAGCAGCGTGGGTCTGGACGGAGCCATGGTCCTCTGGGACTTCAAGGTACTGCTTATAGACACTACATACACAAAGTATGTGGACACCCCTTCAAATTAGTGGATTCGGCTATTTCAGCCACACCCGTTGCTGACAGGTGTATAAAAATGAGCATACAGCCATGCAATCTCCATAGACAAACATTGGCAGTAGAATGGCCCATACTGAAGAGCTCAGTGACTTTCAATGTGGCACCGTCATAGGATGCCACCTTTCCAACAAGTCAGTTCATCTAATTTCTGCCCTGCTAGAGCTGCCCCGGTCAACAGTAAGTGATGTTATTGTGAAGTGGAAACATCTAGGAGCAACAATGGCTCAGCCGTGAAGTGGTAGGCCACACAAGCTCACAGAACGGGACCGCCGAGTGCTGAAGCGCGTAGCGCGTAAAAATCGTCTGGAAGCAATGTCAGCACAAGAACTGTTCGTCGGGAGCTTCATGAAATGGGTTTCCATGGCCGAGCAGCCGCACACAAGCCTAAGATCACATTGTGTCAGCTGGAGTGGTGTAAAGCTTGCAGCCATTGGACTCTGGAGCAGTGGAAACGCGTTCTCTGGCGTAATTAATCATGCTTCACCATTTGGCAGTCCGACGGACGAATCTGGGTTTGGCGGATGCCAGGGGAATGGTACCTGCCCCAATGCATAGTGCCAACTGTAAAGTTTGCCGGAGGAGGAATAATGGTCTGGGGCTGTTTTTCATGGTTCGGGCTAGGCCCCTTAGTTCCAGTGAAGGGAAATCTTAATGCTACAGCATACAATGACAAGGCCCTTTCATGTTTCAGCATGACAATGCGCCTGTGCACAAAGCGAGGTCCATACAGAAATGGTTTGTCGAGATCGGTGTGGAAGAACTTGACCTCAACTCCATCAAGCCAGGCGTAATCGCCCAACATCAGTGCCCGACCTCACCAATGCTCTTGTGGCTGAATGGAAGCAAGTCCCCACAGCAATGTTCCAACATCTAGTGGAAAGCCTTCGCAGAAGAGTGGAGGCTGTTATAGCAGCAAAGGGGGGACCAGCTCCATATTAATGCCCATGATTTTGGAATGAGATGTTGGACGAGCAGGTGTCCACATACTTTACATGTCATGACATGACATTACATTACATTCAGAGACTCAGGAGCCAATAGACATGCAGTACTCTACTCAGAGATCAATTCAAAGGCACAAGATGCATCTGAAATGGCATCCTAATCCCTATATAGGGCATGGCATCCTAATCCCTATATAGGGCATGGCATCCTAATCCCTATATAGGGCATGGCATCCTAATCCCTATTTAGTGCATGGCATCCTAATCCCTATATAGTGCATGGCATCCTAATCCCTATTTAGTGCATGGCATCCTAATCCCTATTTAGTGCATGGCATCCTAATCCCTATATAGGGCATGGCATCCTAATCCCTATATAGGGCATGGCATCCTAATCCCTATATAGGGCATGGCATCCTAATCCCTATATAGTGCATGGCATCCTAATCCCTATATAGTGCATGGCATCCTAATCCCTATTTAGTGCATGGCATCCTAATCCCTATATAGGGCATGGCATCCTAATCCATATTGTTACAAAACCAATAACTCACCTACTGATTTTGCTGCACTCATTATGTCTAGGGGTCTTAGTCCTAGTTACATGGTCTGTAACCTGACTCATTATGTCTAGGGGTCTTAGTCCTGGTTACATGGTCTGTAACCTGACTCATTATGTCTAGGGGTCTTAGTCCTGGTTACATGGTCTGTAACCTGACTCATTATGTCTAGGGGTCTTAGTCCTGGTTACATGGTCTGTAACCTGACTCATTATGTCTAGGGGCCTTAGTCCTGGTTACATGGTCTGTAACCTGACTCATTATGTCTAGGGGTCTTAGTCCTGGTTACCTGGTCTGTAACCTGACTCATTATGTCTAGGGGTCTTAGTCCTGGTTACCTGGTCTGTAACCTGACTCATTATGTCTAGAGGTCTTAGGCCTGGCTACATGGTCTGTAACCTGAGTTGATGTGTGCATAAATGTGAGAAGTCAGCGTATTCAGCCAGGTGTTGAATGTACGTACCCAGGAGACAGCAACTTACCGAGATCAGGACCAGCTCCATCATGGTCGGCCATTCCAAAGCAGATTATTCATATGTTCATGGTGACAAAGTAAACATGTACAAAAAGCCCACTACAAAAAAGACACGCCCAACTAAAGAGGTTTTCTAACATAAAAGAATAAACAAAAGCCGTCTGAGAGGCTTCTGGCCTCCTCTCTCTCCCGGACTGACAATCCCCTTCATTGGCTGCACCTGATGATGTGCTTATCGAGGCTTAGCTCAGCACCTCGACCCAGCTGCTGCCACCTGGGGGATGGAGTGTGGAAGTGTATCCTGGACAGTGTGTTTGTCTATGTCCCAACACTAACCTTTCCCTGATATCATAACACCATACAGTGCACTACCTTTGACCCAGAGACCTATGGGTAAAACTCAGGCTGTTATAATCTGTTTATATTACATTTATGAACCTGTTTTCCTTCCTCTTCTCTCTGTCTCCCTGCAGCACTGAGTTCATGGAGGATGCTAGATCCGTAGGCTGTGTCCTGCCATCTGTGTGGTCAGCATCACTTCAGCTGACCATGGGACTCACCACTACCAGTTGTTATTAACATCAACATCAAGCAGTTAGTCACACCAGGGTTGGGGTCAATTCCATTTAAATTCCATTCAATTCAGAAAGTAAACCAAATTCCAATTCCTCTTTAAAATGTTCCTCATTGAAAAGCATTGAAGAGAATTGGAATTTCAGTGTACTTCCTGAATTGACTGGAATTTAAATGGAATTGACCCCAACACTGAGTCACACCACTGTCAAGTTACCTATTATTTTACACAGATAGATGTGTTATCGTGTGTATTACTGAGGCATTCATTTTCAACTGGAACAGTAGACGTTTCTGAAGCTTCAAGATGTTTCGCAAATAAATCAGGTTGCTTTGTGCTGGGTTTCAATCAATGAATCAATATTGTTGAATAAATAAACATGCTTTCTACAGATTCTGGTGGACTGAGTTTTCATATTGTACCGTGGTTCCAATGTGATAAAAGGACTCATACCCAAGTGAAACGTTTGGTGTATATTTCTAATACTGTAATAAGGCAGATTATTATATAAATCATATTGTCCATCCCTGGCTGAGGGCTACACTTCAACAAGTTATTGTGTCTATGGCAGTTTGGCTACAGTGAACCTACACTCCAGAACTGTTATAAATGATACACATTTAAATACAAAGTAACATGTGTATGCAAAAGGCTGCTGCAGGTGGTTGAGGGTCGCTCAAGGAGAAATCAAGGAAGGTCAATGTTTTGCCGGCTGTTACTACTGTGAATGAATAGCTTTTCTTGTCGACCACCGCCACTGTGACCACCGTCCACTGTGACCACCTTCCACTGTGACCACCTTCCACTGTGACCACCTTCCACTGTGACCACCTTCCACTGTGACCACCTTCCACTGTGACTACCTTCCACTGTGACCACCTTCCACTGTGACCACCTTCCACTGTGACCACCTTCCACTGTGACCACCTTCCACTGTGACCACCTTCCACTGTGACCACCACCACTGGTTTGAGTTCTCCGTGACATAACAACATGCAGAGTTACTAGCCGCTAGAGAGGAAGAGGCGGAGCCAGAGGATTTACTCACGTCAAAGTCTGTCCACGGGGGGAATACAGCGTTATTCAATGTGTTTCTATGGTCTTAATAAGCAGACTGATAGCTTGTCGCCTGCCTTGCCGCCTTCAGGACAACAACTCATTATATACAGTTTCTCTGCTACTACTGCATAGCTTTATGCTAGGGGCGTTAGCCGACCTCCCTTTCCCCTAGAGGAGCCAATCAAAACAAACCTTTTCCCCACCTGACCATAGATTATGATAGCGAAAGCGCTGAGTATGCAAATCATTTTAGAACGCCTGATCTGTCCATGACATAGACTGACCAGGGGAATCCAGGCGGAACGCTATGATCCCTTATTGATGTCACCTGTTCAATCCACTTCAATCAGTCTAGATGAAGGGGAGGAGACAGGTTAAAGAAGGATTTTTAAGCCTTGAGACAATTGAGACATGGATTGTGTATGTGTGCCATTCAGAGGGTGAATGGGCAAGACAAAATATTTAAGTGCCTTTGAACTGGGTATGGTAGTAGGATCCAGGCGCATCGGTTTGTGTCAAGAACTGCAACGCTGCTGGGTTTTTCACGCTCAACAGTTTTCCGTGTGTATCAAGAATGGTCCACCACCCAAAGGACATCCAGACAACTTGACACAACTGTAGAAAGCATTGGAGTCGACATGGGCCAGCATCCCTGTGGAACACTTTCCAACACCTTGTACAGTCCATGCCCCGACGGATTGAGGCTGTTCTGATGGGCAACTCAATATTACGAAGGTGTTCCTAATGTTTGGTATACTCAGTGTACACAGTAGTTAAGCAATAAGGCCAGAGGAGGTGTGGTATATGGCCAATATACCACGGCTAAGGGCTGTTCTTATGCACGACGCAATGCAGAGTGCCTGGATACAGCCCTTAGCCGTGGTATATTGGCCATATACCACAAACCCCAGAGGTGCCTTATTGCTATTATAAACTGGTTACCAAAGTACTCAGAGCAGTAAAAATACATGTTTTGTCATACCCGGTCTGATATACCACGGCTTTCAGCCAATCAGCATTAAGGGCTCGAACCACCTAGTTTATAATTCCCGTTATAGCGTCTGTGAGCGCACAGGCAGCGCCATTGAGGTAATCTCCATTTTGAAGTAGTACATCGATGACCCGGTTGGAACCCGGTTGTACTCCAACCGGGTCATCAGGAGGGATCCCGTGTAGCTCAGTTGGTAGAGCATGGCGCTTGCAATGCCAGGGTTGTGGGTTCGATACCCACGGGGGGCCAGTCTGAAAAAATGTATGCACTCACTAACTATAAAAACGTCTGCTAAATGACAAAACTTTTTTATTTTTTTATCAGCCAATGAATTTGGAAGTCCCACCCAGTTGACTACATTAAAATGGTGGAAGCCAAGATTGTCTATTATTTAGATATGATAGTCAAGTGACCGCTCTAACAATGGAAATACATGTCTTCAAAGATGGAAGGCAGGCGGGAGGAGGCGAGATCAGGTGGGACCATTCTAGCCAATGAGAGGGCAGATACACCTGCGAACAACAGGCCATAGAGATAGACAGAGGACTCATCTTTGTATCTGTGCCACTAAGATGTTAAGACGGCGTTGCAGCCTTTTTATGGGCTCCTGACTAATTCTGCTATTTTGTGTGTTTTTCTTACGCTGATCTTAACTTTTTGTTTTACATAATGTCTCCGCTTTCATTTGCTATGACCGAAAACAGCTTCAGGACATCTGAACAGTGATCACTAACCTCAATTTGGATGACAATTTCTACTTCAACGAGTCGGCAGCGCTGGACGTTCTGCTTACTCCGGACCAGGCCCTAATCCCCAGGTCTCGAAAGAAGAAGCGATGGCACAAGAGAGGCAGACGAGCCGGCATCCTGATGAGACTACGATGGTGAGTAAATAAACCCTCTGTCCTTTTGATTGGCTAACGTACAGTCACTAGAGAACAAGCTGGACGAGCGCCGTTCGAGACTATCCTATCAACGGGACCTGAACAACTGTAATATTGTATGTTTTTCTGAGTCGTGGCTGAACAAGGACATGGATAACATACATCTCGCTGGTTTTTCCATGCATCGTCAAGACCGGATGGCAGCCTCGGGTAAAACAAAGGGGGGAGGAGTCTCTTTGTTAACAACAGCTGGTGCGCGATCTCTAATGTTAAGGAAGTATTTTGCTCTTCTGAGTTAGAATACATCATGATAAGCTGCAGACCATACTATTAATTTTTTTACGCTGTCTATTTACCACCACAAACCGATGCTGGCACTAAGACCGTACTCAACCAGCTGTATAGGGCCATAAGCAAACAACAAAATGCACATCCAGAGGCGGCGCTTCTCGTGGCCGGTGATTTTAATGCAGGGAAACTTAAATATGTTTTACCTCATTTCTACCAGCATGTCACCTGTGCAACTAGAGGTGACAAAACTCTAGATAACCTTTACTCCACACACAGATATGCATACAAGGCTCTCCCTCACCCTCCCTTTGGCAAATCTGACCATAACTCTATCCTCCTGATTCTTACTTACAAACCAAAACTCAAACAGTAAGTACCAGTGATGTGTTCAATACGGAAGTGGTCGAATAAAGCAGATGCTGAGCTACAGGACTGTTTTGCTAGCACAACAGCAACAGCAGATGCTAAGCTACAGGACTGTTTCGCTAGCACAACAGCAACAGTAGATGCTAAGCTACAGGACTGTTTCGCTAGCACAACAGCAACAGCAGATGCTAAGCTACAGGACTGTTTCGCTAGCACAACAGCAGCAGCAGATGCTAAGCTACAGGACTGTTTCGCTAGCACAGACTGGAATATGTTCCGGGATTCATCCGATAACATTGAATAAGTACATCGACAACGTCGTCCCCACAGTGACCGTACGTACATACCCCAACCAGAAGTATTACAGGCCCATCCGCACTGAGCTAAAGGCTAGAGCTGCCGCTTTCAAGGAGCAGGACACTAATCCGGGCACTTACAGTGTAAGAAATCTCGGTACAACCTCCAATGAGCCATCAAACAGGCAAAGTCTCAATACATGACTAAAATCGAATCCTACTACGGAGCTTCAATGTCATGGATGTGGGAGGCTTGCAAATAGCAGGATACAATGGAAATCCAGCCGCGAGCTGCCCAGTGACGCAAGCCCAGTGACGCTTCAAGGCAAGCAACACTGAACCATGCATGAGAGCACCACCTGTTCCGGACGACTGTGGGATCTCGCTCTCCGTAGCCGATGTTTGAGTTTGAGTTTGAGTTTGAGTTTATTTTTACAGGGACAGTGCACATTAATCAACGTTTCAGTAAAAGTGCCGGTTTTAGCAGCCGGCTAATTTTCAACCGCAGTCCCTGGGCAGGTTTTAAAAACAATTACAATATAGACAATAACAACATAGAACAAGACATAGCATACAGACATAGCAACATAGGACAAACAAGACGTAGCATACAGACCGAGCAACATAGAACAAAAAGCAGCAAGACAAAATTCATAAAAGCAACAAAGTGTTTCCACACCTCACAAGTTACAGACAACAGACATGGAAAGCGGCAACACACAGCTGGGGACCATGTTCACAAATCTGATAACTTTAGCCAGTCTTCAAGCATTTGTGAAAGTGTGAAATGTGGTGCGTTATGTGTGTCTGATGGCAGTGCTATTCCAGACATGAAGCTCTCACAGAAAAAGCGGACTTAATAAAGGTGGCTTTTCCTTAGGGGAAACTACACCGGTCACATCTCGGCAGACCAGATGTGAGTAAGACCTTCAAACAGGTTAACATTCACAAGGCCATGAGGCCAGACAGATTACCGGGACGCGTACTCAGAGCATGCGCTGACCAGCTGGCAAGAGTCTTCACTGACATTTTCAACCTCTCCCTGACCCAGCCTGTAATATCTACGTTTCAAACAGACCACCATAGTCCCTGTGCCCAAGAACGCCAAGGTAACCTGTCTAAATGACTATCTCCCCGTAGCACTCACATCTGTAGCCATGAAATGCTTTCAAAGGCTGGTCATGGCTCACATTAACACCATCATGCCAGACACCCTGGACCCAATCCAATTCGCATACCGCCCCAACAGACCCATAGATGACACAATCTCTATTGCACTCCACACTGCACTCTCCCACCTGGACCAGAGAAACACCTATGTGAGAATGATGTTAATCGACAACAGCTCAGCGTTCAACACCATAGTGCCCTCCAAGCTCATCACTAAGCTAAGGACCCTGGGACTGAACACCTCCCTCTGCCACTGGATCCTGGACTTCCTGATGGGCCGCCCCCCAGGTGGTGAGGGTATGCAACAACACATCCGTCACGCTGATCCTCAACACAGGGGCCCCTCAGGGGTGCGTGCTTAGTCCCCTCCTGTACTCCCTGTTCACCCACGACTGCGTGGCCACACACGACTCCAACACCATCATTAAGTTTGCCGACAACACAACAGTGGTAGGCCTGCTCAACGACGACGATGAGACAGCCTATAGGGAGGACAGTGACCTAGCAGTGTTGTGCCAGGACAACAACCTCTCCCTCAATGTCAGCAAAACGAAGGAGCTGATTGTGGACTACAGGAAACAGATGGCCGAGCATGCCCCTATCCACATCAACGGAGCTGTAGTGGAGTCGGTCGAGAGCTTCAAGTTCCTCTGTGTCCACGTCACTAAGGAATTAATCTGGTCCACATACACCAACACAGTCGTGAAGAGGGCACGACAACGCCTCTTTCCCCTCAGGAGGCTGAAAAGATTTGGCATGGGTCCTCAGATCCTCAAAAAGCTCTACAGCGGCACCATTGAGGGCATCTTGAATCGCTGCATACATCACCACTTGATATGACAACTGCTTGGCATCCAACCGTAAGGCGCTACAGAGGGTAGTGCGTACGGCCCAGTACATCACTGGGGCAGAGCTCCCTGCCATCCAGGACCTCTATACATGGCGGTGTCAGAGGAAGGCCCTAAAAATGGTCAAAGACTCCAGCCCCCCTAGTCATAGACTGTTCTCTCTAATACCTCACAGCAAGCGGTACCGATGCACCAAGTCTGGAACCAACAGGACCCTGAACAGCTTCTACTCCCAAGCCATAAGAATGCTAAATAGTTAACCAATAGCTACCGGACTATCTGCATTGACCCTTCTTTGCAACTCTTTTGACTCATCACATACGCTGCTGCCTATATGTACATATCTACCTCCATTACCTCGTACCCCTGCACATCGACTCGGTACTGGTACCCCGTGTATAAAGCCAAGTTATCGTTACTCATTGTGTATTTATTTCTACGGTTATTATCTTTCTATTATTTTTCTATTTTTCTCTCTGTATTGTTGGGATGGGCCCGTAAGTAAGCATTTCACTGTCAGTCTACACCTGTTGTTTACGAAATATGTGACAAATAAAACTTGATTTGTTTATAGCATCTGTGACAGCATGGGCAGCACCAATGAGGCTATCTCCATTTTAAAGTAGTCAATGTTATTCTTCTTCATTGGCTGATTGCTCCCAACTCATAGGAATCCCCACCCAGTTGACTACTTTAAATGGTGGATGCCCTCAATGCCAATGTCTATGCTAAAATGGGTTATATCCACGATGAGTCCTCTATCTATACATTTACATTTTAGTCATTTAGCAGACGCTCTTATCCAGAGCGACTTACAGTTAATGCATACATTTTTTTTTTTCATACCCCCTGTGGGAATCAAACCCACAACCCTGGCGTTGCAAACGCCATGCTCTATCAACTGAGCTACATCCCTGCCGGCCATTCCCTCCCCTACCCTGGAGGACGCTGGGCCAATTGCGCGCCGCCCCATTGGTCTCCCGGTCGCGGCCGGCTATGACAGAGCCTGGATTCGAACCAGGATTTTTTGGGCGGAGTAAAACCTCTTGCTTTGTGTCTTCCTCTCTGGCGCTGCCAATGCTAAAATAGACTTTGGCCACTACAGGCCTCTATCATTCTCTATGCACCTGACCAATCAGAATCGAGCCGACGACAACATTGAATTTCGCTTTTAGCCAACTGCGACTGGAAATCCGAGTGACGCAACAAGCTGTCAGCTGTTCTTGTTTTGCTTCGGTTTTCCCCTTCTTCTTTCTCCAGAGTGTCTGATCTCTCCTGTAACAACTAAGAACATTTATGGAACTCAGATTTGGATTCTAAAAACAACCGGAAATACGGAGTTCAAAACACGCAGGCCTATGATTAGATCGGTTTATTGTTAAAAAGGCGATCGAGATTTCTTCTCAGCTGGATCCTCAATCCGACGCTATCGTGCTAAGAGGCAAAACCGATCCCAGGCCTCCGATCCAGGGCGGAGGGAGGGAAAGAGGTCGCTGGGAATCGGGATGGAGACGGGAGAGGGAGCAGACGGTCCTAGCGGACCGGGTGAACCGGGAGCCGGGCCGGGGACGGATCTGGCGGGGCTTGGCTGCGCCTCTTTCAACCAGGACTCCACGTAAGCGCCTCCGAACCCGCTGCCTGTTGGGCTGGTCGCCGACAACAGAATGCTCTCTCTGCAAATGTCCTTGTCATTTTCTATAAGATAAGCTATGGATAAATATACCTGTTAGTATGATATCATGGTGATGCAATCTTAAAACATATTTCCCTTTAATCGTGAGGTCCTAAAATCCTAGTTAAATAGCCCATAGATGTTATAGAATTATACATAGCGGCCATAGAATCAGAACGTGATGATCAGAAAGGGCTGTTCACAGTCATCTGAACCAAATACACTAATTATGCTTAAACCCTAAACCACAGGATTTATTCTAAAAAAGCTTTGAAAGCTCGGAGTGAAACTCTTCAGCCAAGGCTACTGATGAGAAAGACGGAGAGTGTTGACAACAGTGGATGGAACCGTTCTGGAGGCAGAACAACAGGACTTCAAAAGCACTCCTGTTATACACGCTAATAGAAAATAGAAATCTATTGATCCCTTTCTCAATGTCTTCATTTTAAAGTGGGGCATAGGACTGGACCAACACAGTAATAAACTAGTATAATAATAATAATCTCACTAAAATAAGAGATTGAGACGAGAGAGAGAGAGTTCCTTTGCCTAATGTAAGCACTAACTGAGAACGCTTGAATCGCCAAGCTCAACTACTTTTCATGAACAGAGCGCTATCCCAAATGGCATCATATTCTCTATGTAGTGCACTAGTTTTGACCAGGGCCTATAGAGCACTATGTAGGGAATAGGGTGTTATTTGGGGACGCAGCCTAACTTTCAGATCGCCTGCTCACCTGATATGTGGCTGGCTGGCACTGTGGAGAGAATTCTCACAACCTGTCCATAGCTTCTGTCGTAGGCTAGGTACTAGGTAACACACCTTGAACAGGAGACTGTTTATCTGATGAAGGAATGCAGAACAGAGTAGACCTGTTGTCCTGTCCTGTTGTGTTTGGATCAGGTTGAGAGCTTCAAGTTCCTTGGTGTCCACATCACCAACAAACTAACATGGTCCAAGCACACCAAGACAGTCGTGAAGAGGGCACGACAAAACCTATTCCCCCTCAGGAGACTGAAAAGATTTGGCATGGGTCCTCAGATCCTCAAAAGGTTCTACAGCTGCACCATCGAGAGCATCCTGACTGGTTGCATCACTGCCTGGTATGGCAACTGCTTGGCCTCCGACCGCAAGGCACTACAGAGGGTAGTGCGTAAGGCCCAGTACATCACTGGGGCCAAGCTTCCTGCCATCCAGGACCTCTATACCAGGCGGTGTCAGAGGAAGGCCCTAAAAATTGTCAAAGACTCCAGCCACCCTAGTCCTAGACTGTTCTCTCTGCTACCGCATAGCAAGCGGTACCGGAGCGCCAAGTCTAGGTCCAAGAGGCTTCTAAACAGCTTCTACCCCCAAGCCATAAGACTCCTGAACATCTAATGAAATTGCTACCCAGACTATTTGCATTGCGCCCCCCCCCCCCCCCCCCCCCCCCCCCCTCTCTGTTTATTATCTATGCATAGTCACTTTAATAACTCTACCTACATGTACATATTACCTCAATTACCTCGACTAACCTGTGCCCCCGCACATTGACTCTGTACCGGCACCCCCTGTACAGTGAGGGGAAAAATTATCCTTAAGAAAGGATCAGTCTATAATTTTAATGGTAGGTTTATTTGAACAGTGAGAGACAGAATAACAACAACAAAAATCCAGAAAAACGCATGTCAAAAATGTTATAAATTGATTTGCATTTTAATGAGGGAAATAAGTATTTGACCCCCTCTCAATCAGAAAGATTTCTGGCTCCCAGGTGTCTTTTATACAGGTAACGAGCTGAGATTAGGAGCACAGTCTTAAAGGGAGTGCTCCTAATCTCAGCTTGTTACCTGTATAAAAGGCACCTGTCCACAGAAGGAAACAATAAATCAGATTCCAAACTCTCCACCATGGCCAAGACCAAAGAGCTCTCCAAGGATGTCAGGGACAAGATTGTAGACCTACACAAGGCTGGAATGGGCTACAAGACCATCGCCAAGCAGCTTGGTGAGAAGGTGACAACAGTTGGTACGAATATTCGCAAATGGAAGAAACGCAAAATAACTGTCAATTTCCCTCGGCCTGGGGCTCCATGCAAGATCTCACCTCGTGGAGTTGCAATGATCATGAGAACGGTGAGGAATCAGCCCAGAACTACACGGGAGGATCTTGTCAAGGATCTCAAGGCAGCTGGGACCATAGTCACCAAGAAAACAATTGGTAACACACTACGCCGTGAAGGACTGAAATCCTGCAGCGCCCGCAAGGTCCCCCTACTCAAGAAAGCACATATACAGGGCCGTCTGAAGTTTGCCAATGAACATCTGAATGATTCAGAGGAGAACTGGGTGAAAGTGTTGTGGTCAGATGAGACCAAAATCGAGCTCTTTGGCATCAACTCAACTCGCCGTGTTTGGGAGGAGGAGGAATGCTGCCTATGACCCCAAGAACACCATCCCCACCGTCAAACATGGAGGTGGAAACATTATGCTTTGGGGGTGTTTTTCTGCTAAGGGGACAAGACAACTTCACCGCATCAAAGGGACGATGGACGGGGCCATGTACCGTCAAATCTTGGGTGAGAACCTCCTTCCCTCAGCCAGGGCATTGAAAATGGGTTGTGGATAAGTATTCCAGCATGACAATGACCCAAAACACACGGCCAAGGCAACAAAGGAGTGGCTCAAGAAGAAGCACATTAAGGTCCTGGAGTGGCCTCCGTATCAGATAGGACGTGTGTGTTAGACCTGTGTTACTCAGTATCAGATAGGACGTGTGTATTAGACCTGTGTTACTTCGTATCAGATAGGACGTGTGTGTTAGACCTGTGTGACTCAGTATCAGATAGGACGTGTGTATTAGACCTGTGTGACTCAGTATCAGATAGGACGTGTGTATTAGACCTGTGTTACTCAGTATCAGATAGGACGTGTGTATTAGACCTGTGTGACTCAGTATCAGATAGGACGTGTGTATTAGACCTGTGTGACTCAGTATCAGATAGGACGTGTGTATTAGACCTGTGTGACTCAGTATCAGATAGGACGTGTGGTGTATTAGACCTGTGTTGACTCAGTATCAGATAGGACGTGTGTATTAGACCTGTGTGACTCAGTATCAGATAGGACGTGTGTATTAGACCTGTGTGACTCAGTATCAGATAGGACGTGTGTATTAGACCTGTGTGACTCAGTATCAGATAGGACGTGTGTATTAGACCTGTGTGACTCAGTATCAGATAGGACGTGTGTATTAGACCTGTGTTACTCAGTATCAGATAGGACGTGTGTAGTTAGACCTGTGTGACTCAGTATCAGATAGGACGTGTGTATTAGACCTGTGTGACTCAGTATCAGATAGGACGTGTGTATTAGACCTGTGTGACTCAGTATCAGATAGGACGTGTGTTGGATATATATAGGACTGACTGTGTGACTCAGTATCAGATAGGACGTGTGTGTTTGTGTGGGCAGTTTTATCAGTTCTCTCAGAAATGTTGCATCAGTTTGGAAACATGATTACTATACAGTGTGTGTGGAGAGAGTGAGTGAGAAAAAGAGAGTGAGAGAGCGAGAGAATGGGAGAGAGTGTGTGTGCAATACTTACTTTGTATTTGGACTGGCTATGCAAAATGATAATGAGCAAGTTCAAGCACATCAGTACTCCATAGGCAATATCATGTTTAACAGAAACTGAAAATGATATTTCAGTCATGTAGTTTGGGGAAATTCCCTCCTGCCCAGAATGGATGGAGAACATAGAGTTTACATGAGTAAAGAGTCACACTTTCAACTTTCAAATTCTATGTTTTTGTCCCTTTATCAAAAGTCCTTGCAGCAAACTTTAAAACAAAGTAAATGTTTGGGGTTCTGGAATCCCCAAAATAAACAATGCCTATAAAAAGCCTTGAGAGCAAAGTCTGGTGTGCATGAGATGAGTCACACTTCATTGACATGTTTTTACCGTAGCAAGTTCAATGTATTTTTTACTTATCTACCTCTGCTCGTTGTGTGTGTGTGTGTGTGTGTGTGTGTGTGTGCACACTGTAATACTCATGAAGAAACTAGTCACACATTGACTTATAATATTATATATGTGTTTATCAACCTCTTGTCAACCTCTGTATGTTGTTGTTGTTGTTGTGTGTGTGTGTGTGTGTGTGTGTGTGTGTGTGTGTGTGTGTGTGTGTGTGTGTGTGTGTGTGTGGTGTGTTCCCAGGTCATTGGCAGTGGGAACCAAGACAGGCTATAAGCTGTTCTCTGTGACCTCAGTGGACAAACTGGACTGCATCTACGAGAGCGGTTAGTATAGCCCCGTCCCAAACACACCCCTAGACCCTGTCCCAAACAAACCCCTTACCCTAATCCCCGTCCCAAACGAACCCGTCCCAATCAAACCCCTTCCCCTAGAACCCGTCCCCAAAAAAAAACCTTCCCCTAGACTAGACTTAGTTCCAACACCTCTGTCTCTATCTGATAGGCTGCCTGTACTCTATGACTCCTTTACCAGAGCCTTGTACAGTGCCTTAGGAAAGTATTCATACCCCTTGACTTTTTCCACATTTTGTTATGTTACGGCCTTGTTCTAAAATGGATTAAATAAATAAAAATCATCAGCAATCTACACACAATACCCCATAATGAAAAAGTGAAAACAGGTTTTTAGAAATAAACAACTGAAATACCTTATTTACATAAGTATTCAGACCCTTTGCCATGAGACTCGAAATTGAGCTCAGGTGCATCCTGTTTCCATTGATCATCCTTGAGATGTTTCTACAACTTGATTGGAGTCCACCTTTGGTAAATTCAATTGATTGGACATGCTTTTGAAAGGCACACACCTGTCTATATAAGGTCCCACAGTTGACAGTGCATGTCAAAGCAAGAACCAAGCCATGAGGTCAAAGGAATTGTCCGTAGAGCTCAGAGACAGGATTGTGTCGAAGCACAGATCTGGGGAAGGGTACCAAAAAAATTCTGCAGCATTGAAGGTCCCCATGAACACAGTGGCCTCCATCATTCTTAAATGGAAAAAGTTTGAAACCACCAAGACTCTTCCTAGAGCTGGCCTCCCGGCCAAATTGAGCAATCGGGGGAGAAGGGCCTTGGTCAGGGAGGTGACCAAGAAATCGATGGTCACTCTGACAGAGCTCTAGAGTTCCTCTGTGGAGATGGGAGAACCTTCCAGAAGGACAACCGTCTCTGCAACACTCCACCAATCAGGCCTTTATAGTAGAGTGGCCAGACGGAAGCCACTCCTCAGTAAAAGGCACATGACAGCCCGCTTGGAGTTTGCCAAAAGGCACCTAAAGACTCTCAGACCATGAGAAACAAGATTCTCTGGTTTGATGAAACCAAGATTGAACTCTTTGGCCTGAATGCCAAGCGCCACGTCTGGAGGAAACCTGACACCATCCCTACGGTGAAGCATGGTGGTGGCAGCATCATGCTGTGGGGATGTTTTTCAGCGACAGGGACTGGGAGACTAATGAGGTACGAGGCAAAGATGAACAGAGCAAAGTACAGAGCGATCCTTGATGAAAACCTGCTCCAGAGCGCTCAGGACCTCAGACTGGGGCGAAGGTTCACCTTCCAACAGGACAACGACCCTAAGCATACAGCCAAGTCAACGCAGGAGTGGCTTCAGGATAAGTTTCTGAATGTCCTTGAGTGGCCCAGCCAGAGCTCGGACTTGAACCCGATCAAACATCTCTGGAGAGACCTGAAAATAGCTGTACAGCAACGCTCCCCATCCAACCTGACAGAGCTTGAGAGGATCTGCAGAGAAGAATGGGAGAAACTCCCCAAATGCAGGTGTGCCAAGCTTGTAGTGTCATACCTAAAAATACTTGATGCTGTAATCGCTGCCAAAGGTGCTTCAACAAAGTACTGAGTAAAGGGTCTGAATACTTATGTATATGTGATATTTCCGTTTATATATTTATTTATAAATTAGCTAAATTTTCTAACAACAAGTTTTTGCTTTGTCATTATGGGTTATTGTGTGTAGATTTATGAGGGGGAAAAAAACAATTTAATCCATTTTAGAATAAGGCTGTAACATAACAAAATGTGGAAAGAGTCAAGGGGTCTGAATCCTTTCCGAAGGCGCTGTAGTGGGATCTGATATGATCTCCCTTCAAGGCTCTGACTTATACAGTACTCTGCTCTGCCAAGCTGTAGCATTGTTCAGCCCATATATAGGATCTCATTCTAGTTCTGTCCAGCCTTTCTCTGGGCATTAGTGTCAGTTACAGGGAAATTCATTGGCAGTCCTCTTCCAGTGATGGGTAATTCTCTGTTAGTCTACTTCCTTGTGGTGAATCACTGGCTGTGTTCCAAATACATAGAGCCCTATGGCCCCTAGTCAAAAGTAGTGCACTATATAGGCAATAGGGTGTAATTTGGGTTGCAGACACTGTGTGTAGACTGATAACTGGTTTACAGACAACAGTGGATAGATGGATCACTTCACTAGCCACCAGTCTCTGGTCATTTACTGCTCAGTTCATTATTACTGGCAGACAGACACAGTGATACGGTGTGGAGATAGAAACCAACCATGGCAGGACACTAATACCAGGCTACCTCAGCCCCCCAGGACACTAATACCAGGCTACCTCAGCCCCCCAGGACAATAATACCAGGCTACCTCAGCCCCCCAGGACACTAATACCAGGCTACCTCAGCCCCCCAGGACAATAATACCAGGCTACCTCAGCCCCCAGGACACTAATACCAGGCTACTCAGCCCCCCAGGACACTAATACCCAGGCTACCTCAGCCCCCCAGGACAATTAATACCAGGCTACCTCAGCCCCCCAGGACAATAATACCAGGATACCTCAGCCCCCCCCAGGACAATAATACCCAGGCTACCTCAGCCCCCCAGGACACTAATACAGGCTACCTCGCCCCCCAGGACACTAATACCAGGCTACCTCAGCCCCCCCAGAACACTAATACCAGGCTACCTCAGCCCCCCAGGACACTAATACCAGGCTACCTCAGCCCCCCAGGACATAATACCCAGGCTACCTCAGCCCCCCCAGGACACTAATACAGGCTACCTCGCCCCCCAGGACACTAATACCAGGCTACCTCAGCCCCCCCAGGACACTAATACCAGGCTACCTCAGCCCCCCAGGACACTAATACCAGGATACCTCAGCCCCCCAGGACACTAATACCAGGCTACCTCAGCCCACAGGACATAATACCAGGATACCTCAGCCCCCAGGACACTAATACAGCTACCTCAGCCCCCCAGGACATAATACCAGGCTACTCAAGCCCCCCAGGACACTAATACAGGCTCCCTCAGCCCCCACGGACACTAATACCAGGCTACCTCAGCCCCCCAGGACACTAATACCAGGATACCTCAGCCCCCCAGGACATAATACCAGGCTACCTCAGCCCCCCAGGACATAATACCAGGATACCTCAGCCCCCCTGGACACTAATACCAGGCTCCCCCCATCCCCCTGTGTGTCACCCTTGCGTCCCCCATCAGAGACCCCAGACGTGTACATCGTTGAGCGGTTGTTCCCAGCATCTGGTGGTGGTGGTTAGTCTCTCCTGCCCGACGTATGAACGTCTACCACTTCAAGAGGGAACGGAGATCTGCAACTACAGCTACAGTAACAACATCCTCTCTGTCAGACTCAACAGACAGGTAATAGAATACGTAACAACATCCTCTCTGTCGACTCAACAGACAGGTAATAGAACTACGTAACCACGTCTCTCTGTCGAACTCAACAGACAGGTAATAGAACTACGTACCACGTCTCTCTGTCAACTCAACAGACAGGTATAGAACTACAGTAACCACGTCCTCTCTGTCAGACTCAACAGACAGTAATAGAACTACAGTAAAACATCCCTCTGTCAACTCAACAGACAGGTAATAGAACTACAGTAACCACATCCTCTCTGTCAGACTCAACACAGGTAATAGAACTACAGTAACCAGTCTCTCTGTCAGATCAAAGACAGGTATAGAACTACAGACCACGTCCTCTCTGTCAGACTCAACAGACAGGTAATAGAACTACAGTAACCACGTCCTCTCTGTCAGACTCAACAGACAGGTAATAGAACTACAGTAACCACATCCCCTCTGTCAGACTCAACAGACAGGTACAGTAGATTGGACACGCATACATACATGGATAGACGCAGATATGCATGGACAGATATGTAGGTCTCTTACTAAACAACAATGACAATGTTTCAACAGGAACTTGAGGTGTGATCTACTCTCTCTATCTCTCTCTCTCTCTACTCTATCTCTACTACTCTCATCATCTAGATCTACTCTCTCTCTCTCTACTCTCTCTCTCTCTATCTCCTCTATCCTCATTGCAATCTCGCCGCTCTCTCTCGCTCTCTCTACTCTCATCTTCTCTCTCTCTCTCATCTACTCTCTCTACTCTCTCTCGCTCTCTCTCTCTCTCTCTCTCTCTCTCTCTTCTCTCTCTCCCCTCCTCCTGTAGAGGCGGGGTGGTTGTGTGTCTGGAGGAGTCAGTCTACATACACAACATCAAAGACATGAAGCTGCTGAAGACCCTACTCAGCACGCCCTCCAACCCCTCAGGTAAACACACTATATACAGTCTACCTACAGAACGGTGTTTCCCAAACCAGTGTGTCTGCTCTATGTCTTTCTGATGGGTTTGGAAAAGCAGAAGCTGTCTTTCTGTGGACTGAAAGGAAAATGGATCAATAAAGTATTTTTCTTCTGTTCAGGTCTGTGTGCTCTGTCCATCAACCATTCCAACTCCTACCTGGCCTACCCAGGCAGCTCCACCATCGGAGAGATCATAGTTTATGACGCCAACAACCTGGTAAGGCCTACTATACTACTGAACTACTACTGAACAACTACTGTACTACTACTACTATACTAACTACTATACTACTATACTACTATTATACTACTATACTACTATTATACTACTGTACTACTATACTACTATACTACTATACTACTATACTACTATACTACTGTACTACTGTACTACTGTACTACTATACTACTATACTACTGTACTACAGTACTACAGTACTACTACTATTGTACTACTATACTACTACTATACTACTACACTGCTGTACTACTACTGTACTACTACTATACTACTATACTACTATACTATTGTACTACTGTACTACTATACTACTACGTTACTACTGTACTACTGTACTACTACTGTACTACTATACTATTATACTACTACTATACTATTGTACTACTATACTACTACGTTACTACTGTACTACTACTGTACTACTATACTACTACGTTACTACTGTACTACTACTGTACTACTATACTACTACGTTACTACTGTACTACTACTGTACTACTATACTATTATACTACTGTACTACTATACTATTATACTACTACTACTATACTATTATAATACTACTACTATACTATTATACTACTACTACTATACTATTGTACTACTGTACTACTATACTATTATACTACTACACTACTATACTACTATGGTACTACTATACTACTGTACTACTATACTATTATACTACTATACTACTACGGTACTACTATACTATTATACTACTATACTACTACGGTACTACTGTACAACTACTACTATACTATTATACTACTGTACTACGGTACTACTATACTATTATACTACTATTGTACTACTATACTACTATACTACTATGCTACTATGGTACTACTATACTACTGTACTACTATACTATTATACTACTATACTACTACGGTACTACTGTACTACTATACTATTATACTACTATACTACTACGGTACTACTATACTACTGTACAACTATACTATTATAATACTATACTACTATACTACTATACTACTACTATACTGCTGTACTACTATACTAGTATACTACTATACTACTATGGTACTACTGTACTACTACTACTATACTATTATACTACTGTACTACGGTACTACGGTACTACTATACTATTATACTACTATACTACTACTGTACTACTATACTACTGTGCTACTATACTATTATACTACTATACTACTATGGTACTACTATACTACTGTACTACTATACTATTATACTACTATACTACTACTGTACTACTATACTACTGTGCTACTATACTATTATACTACTATACTACTATGGTACTACTACGGTACTACTGTACTACTATACTATTATACTACTATACTACTACGGTACTACTATACTACTGTACAACTATACTATTATAATACTATACTACTATACTACTATACTACTACTATGCTGCTGTACTACTATACTATTATACTACTATACTACTACGGTACTACTGTACTACTACTACTATACTATTATACTACTGCACTACGGTACTACGGTACTACTATACTATTATACTACTATACTACTACTGTACTACTATACTACTGTGCTACTATACTATTATACTACTATACTACTATGGTACTACTATACTACTGTACTACTATACTATTATACTACTATAATACTATACTACTACGGTACTACTGTACTACTACTACTATACTGTTATACTACTGTACTACGGTACTACGTTACTACTATACTAATATACTACTATACTACTATACTACTATACTACTACTGTACTACTATACTATTATACTACTATACTACTATACTACTACGGTACTACTGTACTACTACTACTATACTATTATACTACTGTACTACGGTACTACGGTACTACTATACTATTATACTACTATACTACTACTGTACTACTATACTACTATACTACTATGGTACTACTATACTAATGCACTACTATACTGTTATACTACTATACTACTATACTACTATGGTACTACTATACTACTGTGCTACTATACTATTATACTATTATACTACTACGGTACTACTATACTACTATACTACTACGGTACTACTATACTACTACGTTACTACTATACTGCTGTACTACTATACTATTATACTACTATACTACTATACTACTACTATACTACTGTACTACTATACTATTAAACTACTATACTACTATACCATTATACTATTATACTACTATACTACTACGGTACTACTATACTACTGTACTACTATACTATTATACTACTATACTGCTGTACTACGGTACTACTATACTACTATACTACTATACTACTACTGTACTACTATACTATTATACTACTATACTACTACGGTAATACTATACTACTGTACTACTATACTATTATAATACTATACTACTATACTACTACGGTACTACTATACTACTGTACTACTATACTACTATACTACTACGGTAATACTATACTACTGTACTACTATACTATTAGATATTAGTAATACTATACTACTACGGTACTACATAACTACGTACTACATTACTATTAACTACTATACTACGTACGGATACTACTACACTACGTACTACATACTACTATACTACTAGTATACTACGGTACTACTATACTGACTGTACCTATACTATTATACTACTAACTGATGTATGACGATAGACTACAACTGGAGTACTACTATAGGTATACTACGTACTACTAGACACATATTACTACTACGGTGACTACATACTACTATTACTACTACTGTTACTTACTATATCTATTATACTTACTGTGACTACGATTACTAATGTTACGTACTACTAACTATACTAGTATCGGCTGCTCTCTCTATCGCTATCTCTCCTCTCCTCTCTCTCTCTCTCCTCTTCTCTCTCTCCTCTCTCTCTCTCTCTCAGAGCACTGTGACAATGATCCCGGCCCATGACAGTCCCCTGGCTGCTCTCACCTTCAACGCATCAGGCACCAAGCTGGCCAGCGCCTCGGAGAGGGTAAGCACTGAGCACTACCAGGATAGCTGCCCCTAGTGACGGGAGGCCAGCACTGCTTTTTGACAGCTTACCTGGAAATTGTAGTTAGGCCTGTCTATGTCAAAAAACATTTAGTACTTGACTAGTAATAGATGTATTCTGCTACAGCACATACAGTGTCTTATAAGCCCATGTGGGCGGGGCATCCTGAAGAGGCATGACACTATACTAATATAATAATACAGTGTAGCTAGACAGCCCTGACTGGGAGGGACTGACTCTCTTCCTGTCTCCCTTTATTCCCCATCGCTTGGCTCTTCCTCTCTCCCTTCTTCATATCTCTGTCTCTCCCTCCCTCCCTCTCTCCCTCTCTCCCGCTCTCCCTCCCTCCCTCTCTCCAGGGTACTGTAATCCGTGTGTTCTCCATCCCAGAGGGACAGCGTCTGTTTGAGTTCCGCAGAGGGATGAAGAGGTCAGAGTTCACACAACAGAACATAAACTGTATAAACACACTTTATACTGTAACAGAACAGAACACACCATAGTCTACACCTTATGAACAGGACCAACAGAACACAGGACATTTCTGGACATTTCCTCGTCTAGGTTCTCTATTCCCGCCCCCAATTAAATAACGACCTATCAGGAGCATGGGAAACCATAAGGATGATGAATGTAAAATACTAGAGAAGGAGTCTGTCAGGAGCATGGAAACCATAAGGATTTTGCTGTGGTAAACAAGGAAATACTTTATTTCAGTGATACGGATTGATTGTCAAATAGTTAAATCTACTCTTGGTCAGCTACAAAAGCAGGTTTAATTTACACCGATGATAACACCCACCAGAGGGCGAAAATGCCTTCAAAGACGTTGACCGCAAACAACACTATAATTAACACTGGCAACACTGCAGCCATAGATGTAATCTCCAGATTGGGGAGACAGGCATGTGTTTATTTTTAATTTATTTTACCTTTATTTAACGAGGCAAGTCAATTAAGAACAAATTCTTATTTACAATGACGGCCTACACCGGCCAAACCCGGACGACGCTGGGCCAATTGTGCGCCGCCCTATGGGACTCTCAATCACGGCCGGTTGTGATACAGCCTGGAATCGAACCAGGGGGTCTGTAGTGACGCCTCAAGCACTGAGATGCAGTGCCTTAGACCGCTGCGCCACTCGGGAGCCCGAGTGGTGCAATGCAGAGTAGTAGACTCACATTATGACAACATCAGAACCGACTGAAGACAGGTTTCTGAGTTTATAAGAAGCTCCACCACATGGCTCAGTATTGAGTTGAGTCATGTGGAATAGAACAGGCAAAAACAAGGGAATATCAAGCTGAAATGTTTCGCGTTTCAAATGCATCTTTCATAGATAGATGACGTCATTGGTGTAATTAAGTTCTTACTGACAGTATGAGTGTAGAAGAGACTTATAATAACTTCCTGTGTGTGTCTTCAGGTACGTCAACATCAGTTCCCTGTCCTTCAGTCCTGACGCCCAGTTCCTCTGTGCCTCCAGCAACACTGAGACCGTACACATCTTCAAACTGGAACAGCACGGACCCAGGTACACACACACAAACCACACAAACCACAAACACACACACCACGAAGGAGTCACCCTCAACCTGGGAAGTCTACATGGGGAAAACACTCTCTCTCTCTCTCTATCTCCCCTTCTCTCTAACCCTGTATCTCCCTGTCTCTCTCTGTGTATCTCCCTGTCTCTCTAACTGTGTATCTCCCTGTCTCTCTCTGTGTATCTCCCTGTCTCTCTAACCCTGTATCTCCCTGTCTCTCTAACCCTGTATCTCCCTGTCTCTCTCTGTGTATCTCCCTGTCTCTCTCTGTGTATCTCCCTGTCTCTCTAACCCTGTATCTCCCTGTCTCCTCTGTGTATCTCCCTGTCTCTCTCTGTGTATCTCCCTGTCTCTCTAACCCTGTATCTCCCTGTCTCTCTCTGTTTATCTCCCTGTCTTCTCTCTGTGTATCTCCCGTCTCTCGAACCTGTATCTCCTGTCTCTCTAACCTGTATCTCCTGTCTCTCTCGGGTGTATCTCCCTGTCTCTCTCTGGTGTAATCTCCCTTTCTCTCTACCCTGGACTTCCTGCTCTCTCTGTGTATCCCCTGTCTCTCTAACCCCTGTAAAATCTCTCCCTGTCCTCTCTCTGTGTATCTCCCTGTCTCTTAACCCTGTAGCTCCCTGTCTCTCTCTGTGTTCTTCCCTGTCCCCTCTCTACCCCTGTATCTCCTGTCTCTCTCTGTGTATCTCCCTGTCTCTCTAACCCTGTATCTCCCTGTCTCTCTCTGTGTATCTCCCTGTCTCTCTAACCCTGTAGCTCCCTCTCTCTGTGTAATCTCCTGTCTCTCTAACCCTGTATCCTCCCTGTCTCTCTCGTGTATCTCCCTTGTCTCTCTCTGTGTATCTCCCCTGTCTCTCTAACCTGTATCTCCCTGTCTCTCTAACCCTGTATCGCCCGTCTCTCTCGTGTATCTCCCTGGTCGCTCTAACCCGGTATCTCCCTGTTCTCTCGTGTTCTCCCCTGTCTCTCTCTGTGTATCTCCTGTCTCTCTAACCCCTGTAGCCCCTGTCTCTCTCTGTTATCTCCCTGTCTCTCTAACCCTGTATCCCCTTCGCTCTCTGTGTATCTCTCCCTGTCTCTCTCTGTGTATCCCTTCTCTCTAACCGTAGCTCCTGTCTCTCTCGTGTAGCTCCCTGTCCCTCTCGAACCCTGTATCTCCCTGTCTCTCTCTGTGTATCTCCCTGTCTCTCTAACCCTGTATCTCCCTCTCTCTGTGTATCTCCCTGTCTCTCTAACCCTGTATCTCCCTGTCTCTCTAACCCTGTATCTCCCTGTCTCTCTCTGTGTATCTCCCTGTCTCTCTAACCCTGTATCTCCCTCTCTCTGTGTATCTCCCTGTCTCTCTCTCTGTTTATCTCCTGTCTCTCTCTTTGTATCTCCTGTCTCTCTCTGTTATCTCCCTGTCTCTCTAACCCTGTATCTCCCTGTCTCTCTCTGTGTATCTCCCTGTCTCTCTAACCCTGTATCTCCCTGTCTCTCTCTGTGTATCTCCCTGTCTCTCTAACCCTGTATCTCCCTGTCTCTCTCTGTGTATCTCCCCTCCCTGCTCTCTAACCTTATCTCCCTCTCTCTGTGTTCTCTCCCGGTCTCTCTAACCCGGTATCTCCCTCTCTCTGTTTAATCTCCCGTCTCTCTAGCTCTACCCTGTAGCCCTCCCTGTCCTCTCGTTGTATCTCCCTGTCTCTCTCGTGTACTCCCTGTCTCTCTAACCCTGTATCTCCCCTGTCCTCCCATCTCTAACCCACACGCCCTGTATCTTCCTGTCTCTCTCTGTGTATCTCCTTCTCGTCCTAACCCTTATCTCCTGTCGCTCTCTGTGTATCTCCCTGTCTCTCTCTGTGTATCTCCCTGTCTCTCTAACCCTGTATCTCCCTGTCGCTCTCGGTGTATCTCCCCTGATCTCTCTCAACCCTGTAGCTCCCTGTCTCTTCTCTCTGGTCTCCCTGTCTCTCTCTGTGTATCTCCCTGTCTCTCTAACCCTGTATCTCCCTGTCTCTCTCTGTGTATCTCCCTGTCTCTCTAACCCTGTATCTCCCTGTCTCTCTCTGTGTATCTCCCTGTCTCTCTAACCCTGTATCTCCCTCTCTCTGTGTATCTCCCTGTCTCTCTAACCCTGTATCTCCCTGTCTCTCTAACCTGTATCGCCCTGTCTCTCTAACCCTGTATCTCTCCCTGTCTCTCTCTGTGTTAGCTCCCTGTCCTCTCTAACCCTGGTCCCTCTCCCTGTCTCTCTCTGTGTATCTCCCTGTCTCTCTAACCTGTATCTCCCTCTCTCTGTGTATCCCCGGTCTCTCTAACCCTGTATGCTCCCTGTCTCTCTCTCTGTAGTGGAGAGGGATTGTCCTACCGGGGGATCCGTACTAGGGAAGATGTTTCTCTGCAGCCACAGCTCCACTCCCTCCCAGGTGTCTGTCTTATTTGCATTTCCTTTCTTGTTCCCTGCATGTTTATATATTATGCTTATTCTTATTCAATACTATTTCAAATACTATTTTAGTTGCTGTACTGAGAGGAGATCTTGTAAGTAAGCATGTCATTGTACTGTGTACACCAAGCTGTATCCTGTCATACGACAATAAACTTTGATTGGATTTGAGGGTGTCTGGAGTGATGAGTCAGGAAAGAGCCTTCGCCACATGTACGCCTCCATAGTGGGCCGGGCAGAGGAACGTCTGTACCCTCGCCACGTGAGTCCTCCCTGTGTGTGTGTGTGTGTGTGTGTAGGGTGTGTGTGTTTGTGTGTGTAGGGTGTGTGAGTTGCTGTGTAGGGTGTGTGAGTTTGTGTGTGTGTGTAGGGTGTGTGAGTGCGTGTGTACTGTAGAAGGTGTTGGTGTGTGTTTTTGGTCTCATTAGGTTTTGGTCTTCTATTTGTTATACACAGTTATAGACAGTATTACCCAAGAATATACAGTATTTACACATAATATACGTATTACAAGTAAATAGACAGTAATTACACAGTAGTAGAACAGTATTTAAAGCACAGTAATAGACGTAGTAGACAGTATTACAACGTAGGTAGACGTAGTGACAGTATAGACAGGATTACACATATACACAGTAATAGACAGTAGTAAATACCTTATACACGTATAGACAGTAATATACTAATTACACAGTAATTGACAGGAGTAGACAAGTTTTAAAATACTATATAGTATATCATCCTGACCTGGATCCGAGAGTAAAAAAAAAAAAAAAAAAAAAAAAAAAAAAAAAAAAAAAAAAAAAAAGAAAAAAAAAAAAAAAAAAAAGAAAAAAAAAAAAAAAAAAAAAAAAAAAAAAAAAAAAAAAAAAAAAAAAAAAAAAAAAAAAAATTGGCCATAATTGGTATAGATGCTGTATTCCTGTTTCAACTGGTGTGAGGTGTCATGGCTGGCTGTGTCCTGTACTGTCTGTCAGATCCAGAAGCTCCCTCCTCGTCTGCTGGTGGGGCCTCCTCCCGAACCGGAAAAAAAAAACCCCCCAGCTGTTCATTATAACGTTAGACCTCAGGACGAGGAGAGTGTGTCCTGGCTCAGAAACACAGGTGAGAGGTCAACTCAGGTCAAGAGGTCATCGAGGGCCGTATGCCCTTAACACTGCTTTGCTAATCAAACAACTTCTGAAGTGATATATGGAACCATCATCTGAAACGTCTTTCAATATCATACTAGTATTCATGTGTGCATCTGCACCGTATTCAATTACCCGACATAGTCCTTCATGTTGTCATCTGCACGTATTCAATACCAACCTAGTATTCATGTTGTCATCTGCAACGTATTCAATATCCAGACCTAGTATTCATGTTGTCATCTGCAACGATTCATACCATCCTAGCATTCATGTTGTTCTCAAATCTCTCGTCGTCACTCTCTCTGTGTTTGTTTCTTTTCTTTCTCTGTCTTCTGTCTGTCTGTTCTCTCTGTCTGTCTGTCCTGTCTGTCTTGTTATTCCGGGTTTGCCCTTTTCTTGTGGCAACATGTCACAAATCTGCTGCTGTCTCTTGCTGTCTCTCTCGCTCCTCTCTCTCTTCTAACCCCTCTCTCTCTATATCCTCACTCTCATCCTCTCTAACCCTCTCCTCTTTCTAACCCTCCTCTCCTACCCTCTCTCTCTCACCATCTCTCTCTACCTCTCTCTCTAACCATCTCTCTTTCTAACTAACCCCTCTCTCTACCCTCTCTCTTCTAACACTCTCTCTACCTACCCCCCCTCTCTCTACACTCTCCTTCTACCCTCTCTCTCTCTAACTTTACCCTCTCTCTCTCTACCTACCCTCTCTCTCTCACAATCGCTCTCTCTACCTCTCCTCTCTCTACAATCTCTCTCTAAACCCTCTCTCTCTAACCATCTCTCTCTACCCTCTCTCTCTACCCCTCTCTCTCTACTAACTCGCTCTCTACAATCTCCTCTCTTACCCTCTCTCTCGTCTACAATCTCTCTCTCTAACCCGCTCTCTCAACCGCTCCTTTCTAACCCCTCTCTCTACCCTCTCTCTTTCTAACTCTCTCTCTAATCTCTACCCTCTCTCTTTCTAACCTCTCTCTACCCTCTGCTCTCTCACCCTCTCTCTCTCTAACCCTTCCTTTCTACCCACCCCTCTCTCTCTACCCTCCTCTCTCTCTACTACCCTCTCTCTCCTCTAACCTTCGCTCTCTACCTGCTCACTCGCTCGCTACCCTCATCCTCTCTATCTACCCTCTCTCTCGCTACCCTCTCTCTCTCTATCTCTCTTCTCTCTCTCCCTGCTCTCTCTGCTCGCTACCCCTCTTCTCCTCTCTACCCTATACCCTACCCCGCCTCTCTCTCTAACCTCTCTCTCTACCCTCTCTCTCCTCCTCTCTTCAAACCCTCTCTCTCTCTACCCTCTCTCTCCGCTCTACCTTCCTCTCCTACCTGCTCTCTCTCTCTAAACCCTCTCCTCTACCCCACCCCCCGCCTCTCGCTCTAATACCACTCTCTCTCTCTACCCTCTCTCTCTCTAAAACCCTCTCTCTTTCTAAACCCTCTCTCTCTAACCCTCTCGGCTCTCTACTAACCATCTATCTCTACCGCTTCGCTCTACTCTAACCCTCTCTCTCTCTCTCTCTCTCTCCAGGTTGTTTGGTGAAGATGAGGACAAGGAGGAGGGTTTATTCAGAAGGGTCAGAGGTCACGGTGCCCGTCCAGTCATGTCCATCATACGCGCACTGTTGCCATACCAACCACCGGCCCAGTCACTACTATCTCACATGGTGTGTGTGTGTGTGTTGAGAGAAAACATCAGCGGAAGATAGAGAGAGATAGATGGACGGAAGAGAGATTTGTGTTGTATCTGTAAGGGTGTGGGTGTATATAACTTACCTGTAACCTCTCTTCCCTCTCCGTCCCCAGGTTAACTCTGAGGACTGTTGGGGCTAAGAAGGCGAGGTGATCCCAAACATGAGTTTGCCGCGGGTCCCGTCTGTCTAGATGATGAGAATGATTTCCTCTTTCCTACAGTTGCAACCAGCAACTCTCCTACCTGGTCCATAACAGAACAGTAAAGTCGCTGCACCTCTCTAGGCCTGGTCTGATACAAAACAGTAGTCCTGCTAACTCTCCTAGGCCTGGTCCATATACAGAACAGTATCCCTCTAACTCTCCTAGCCTGGTCATATACAGAAACAGTAGTCCTGCTAACTCTCCTAGCCTGGTCCTATAGAGAAACAGTAGTCCTGCTAACTCTCTTAGCCTGGCCCTATAGAGAAACAGTAGTCCTGCTAACTCTCTTAGCCTGGCCCTATAGAGAAACAGTAGTCCTGCTAACTCTCTTAGCTGCCTATCGAGAAACAGTAGTCCTGCTAACTCTCTTAGCCGGGTCCTATACAGAAACAGTAGTCCTGCTAACTCTCTACCTGGTCCTATACAGAAACAGTAGTCCTGCTAACTCTCTTAGCCTGGTCCTATACAGAAACAGTAGTCCTGCTAACTCTCTTAGCCTGGCCCTATAGAGAAACAGTAGTCCTGCTAACTCTCCTAGCCTGGTCCTATACAGAAACAGTAGTCCTGCTAACTCTCTTAGCCTGGTCCTATACAGAAACAGTAGTCCTGCTAACTCTCTTAGCCTGGTCCTATACAGAAACAGTAGTCCTGCTAACTCTCTAGCCTGGCCCTATAGAGAAACAGTAGTCCTGCTAACTCCTCCTAGACCTGGTCCTATACAGAAACCAGTAGTCCCCGCTAACTCTCATAGCCTGGTCCGATAGAGAAACAGTAGTCCTGCTAACTCTCATAGCCTGGTCCTATAGAGAAACAGTAGTCCATGCTAACTCTCCCTAGACCTGGTCCTATACAGAAACAGTAGTCCTGCTAACTCTCATAGCCGGTCCTATAGAGAACAGTAGTCCCTGCTAACTCTCCTAGCCTGGTCCATATACAAAACCAGTAACTCCTGCTAACTCTCTGTATTCCACTCTGGTGCTAGGCTAGGGTCCATTTAGAAACAATTTAAAGGTTAAAAAACTATAAATACTAGCCAGTTCCCTTCCCTACCCCCTACTACCCCTTCTAAACAGTGGCCCATTTAGCAAGGCCTCCACACTAACTCCTACAAAACAATGGGCTTAACTCCTACAGTAGACACTGAGTGGAACAAAACATTAGGAACACCTCCATTTGTTGGGGCTTGGACTCTTCAAGGTGTCGAAAGCGTTCCATAGGGATGCTGGCCCATGTTGACTCCAATGTTTCCCACAGTTGTCGGCTGGATACACACGGGAAACTCTTGAGCGTGAAAAACCCAGGAGCTTCGTTTACAGTTCTTGACACAAACTGGTGCGCCTGGCACCTGCTTACCATACCCCATTCAAAGGCACTTAAATATTTTGTCTTGCCCATTCACTCTCTGAATGGCACATATGCACATTCCATGTCTCAATTGTCTCAAGGCTTAAAAATATATTTTTTTAACCTGTCTCCACCCCTTCATCTACACTGATTGAAGTGGATTTAACAAGTGACATCAATAAGGGATCATAGTTTTCACCACGATTCACCTGGTCAGTCTATGTCGTGGAAAGAGCAGGTGTTCCTAATGTTTTGTGCACTCAGTATATATACAGTATGTTTTATAAGAAGTTTTTTTTTTATGCTGACGGTTGCAATGTGTTTCACTCTGTGAATACCGGTATTACTTTAATATATAATTCCTCTGGAATAGCTATTTTAGCTTGTATGCGATTTTATAAATGTTACCTTCTTAATATTACGTGTTTAATGAATCAAGTGGGGTTTTACCATTCCGGATTTTGAAAGAACCGTTCAGATGTATAGGCCGGGATTAAATTCGATCGTGGGTGAAAAGCATTGGGGCTTTTAAAGGAAATGTTCACGTCTTCGCAGATATTACATTTGCGGTAAACGCTGCATATGTCGACTCAATCGGATATTGTCTTTAAAAGTCGCAATGCCGATAACCCGCGATCGGATGGAATCCTAGTTGCATGTGGACAGTTCTGTTGGTGTAATTGTTATATTAATCCACAAGGGGGTGCTGTTGTCCCTCTGTGTGAGACCCTATTGCTCAGTGAAATCTGTAAGAAAGTAGAAGTTGCTCCTAAGTACTTATCTAGGATCAGCATACACCTGGCCAGTCCTGACCTTTACTATATGAAGGTTAAGTGCAATACTGGTCCTAGATCAGTGCACAAGGAGAAGATTCTACGTTGATCTATTGGCGACTATTGGGGTATAGAGAGAGCCCATGATTCTCAATGTCGGCCTTTTTCAAACCTCTCCTCGGGGACACCCAGACGTTTCACAGTGTTGTTGTAACCCTGAACTAGCGCCTGATTATTAGCAGTCAAGTGCTTGTTGACCGATCAAGGCATCAGGTGTGCTAGTTCTGGAACAGTTCAAGAACATGGACAAGCTGGGGGTTGCCGAGAAGAGGTTGGGAAGAGGCTACCTATGTAATGCCCTCCTAGTGTATATGTCCTATTGGAATGAATGTCTACCTGTAGTTCTTTCTCATTCTCTGAGAAGGGAGTGTAAGAGGTAATACATATCCATGTGACTACACTATAATAATGATGTCGTTTTTTTAAAGTTATTGGCATGACTGTGTTTATAACGTATAACGAAATCTGTTTGTACAACTCTGTCTAGTCTGTCCCATGCCTGGTCCTAGAAAACCTTGTCTGAGAGCATTAATTGCAGGATTTATCTTAGTTAGTGGAGGGTTTTAAAAAAATGTTTTCCTTGATATTGGTAAAGGTGGACATGTTATCTTTAGTCTGTCTCTCAGGGTTGGGGTCAATTCCATTTCAATTCAGTCAATTCAGGAAGTACACTGGAATTGACTGCGCTGCTTTTGATCCTGGTAGTGCACCTGGTGTAAAGTAGTGCACTATACAAGGAATAGGGTGCCATTTGGGACGCAGCCTGAATTGACATGGAAGGAACCTCAACCATGTTGTCTCTATTATAACACAACTATGACCAAAACCATTCAACCTGACCCTTGACCCCGGTCTGTTTTGGTGTTTTGGTAGATAAATTGGTGCCGCGACGGAACTCGAGGTGGCCAGGGGCGCCGTCTGTGAGGGTAGAACGAAGGAAGGAAGGACAGG